CATCTGCTCTTGGCTCCATCCGACGTGGCCGGCTGGGGAACCTTCATCAAGGAGGGTGTTCAGAAAAATGAGTTTATCTCTGAGTACTGTGGAGAGGTACACGTATTTATATTTCCTTTAGAAAGTTGTCCTTTTGCTTCACTGGGATGATGATCTTACCGTAGTCCATTATGTTGGGATTTCCTGGGGTCCTGGGTGTCTTCCCTGTGGCAAAACGCTAGCACGGGTCGCAACAACACGCCAACCTTTCCCACTGTTGTCCTGGGTGAACACCGCATTTTAACATGTGTCAACAACAAAAAACATGGCGCCGCAGTGAAAAAAAATAACACAGTACACATAGTTGGTAAATAGATGTTATATTTAACTACATAATTAACATCTAGTTTTCTGAACACCCTCCTTGATGAAGGTTCCCCAGGATTTCCTGGGGTCCTGGGTGTCTTCCCTGTGGCAAAACGCTAGCACGGGTCGCAACAACACGCCAACCTTTCCCACTGTTGTCCTGGGTGAACACCGCATTTTAACATGTGTCAACAACAAAAAACATGGCGCCGCAGTGAAAAAAAATAACACAGTACACATAGTTGGTAAATAGATGTTATATTTAACTACATAATTAACATCTAGTTTACTATATATGATCAATCATGTCCCAGATCGGCTTCTGCAACTGCCACTACCCTAGCAACAGTTATGATTAGCATCTAGCTGCCCAACCAGTGGGGGCGGGTCCCGGCTCAAAAATGTCCAAAATGATGTGTGCTGACATGCTGCAATACCACTCCAGGCCTGTGGGGGTGGACCCAGAATAAGAATTTTTCAATGATAATGTACGTATCTTCTTACCTCTCGAACCCAGCTTTACAGGATGGTCCAAAAGTCTTCATTTTCCATTTTGAAAACAGCCTATTGACTGTGGAAGTGGTGGCACATTAGTTAGAACGGCGCAGATTGGCGTGACTACTTTTGTTAACATTTACAGTCTATGTGCCCAACGTGGTGAGAGAGAAGGCCCGCCCCTCAATCTGATTGGCTTCGATGCAAACACTTGTATATTCAAATGTTGCGTAGTTAACCCGGTATCTGCTAGCCAACCCAAGCTTCACGCTACGGCAAGTGAACGCTGTGGGGCTTTCTACAGTTAAAATATACTTACATTAATATAAATACCACTGACTTTCTGCTGTGTTTGTAAAAGATATAATACACAAAAAAATATTGGGCGGGTTTTTTTAATGAATATTTTTGACTGTTGCCTTGTTCCAGCTGATCTCCCAGGACGAGGCGGACCGGCGCGGGCGGATCTATGACAAATACATGTCCAGTTTTCTTTTCAACCTGAACAATGGCAAGTCCTCTCTGTCTCTGCTGCGATGTCCTCTGCACCTCCTCTTCACCTCTTCTACACCTCCTCTGCACATCCTCTGCACCTCCTCTACACCTCTGCACATCCTTTACACCTCTTCTGCACCTCCTCTGCACCTCCTCTACACCTCTTCTGCACCTCCTCTACCCCTCCTCTGCACCTCCTCTGCACATCCTCTGCACCTCCACTGCACCTCCTCTGCACCTCCTCTGCACCTCCTCTACACCTCCTCTGCACCTCCCTCTGTACCTGCTCTGTACCTCCTCTACACCTCCTCTGCACCTCCTCTACACCTCCCTCTACACCTCCTCTGCACCTCCTCTGTACCCTGTACTCTGTACCCTGCTTGTACTCCTCTACACCTCCTCTGCACCTCCTCTATACCTCCTCTGCACATCCTCTGCACCTCCTCTGCACCTCCTCTACACCTCCTCTGCACCTCCTCTGCACCTCCTCTGAACCTCCTCTACACCTCCTCTGCACCTCCTCTGCACCTCCTCTACACCTCCTCTGCACATCCTCTGCACCTCCTCTGCACTTCCTCTGCACCTCCTCTTCACCTCCTCTGCACCTCCTCTGTACCTGCTCTGTACCTCCTCTACACCTCCTCTGCACCTCCTCTACACCTCCTCTGCACATCCTCTGCACCTCCTCTGCACCTCCTCTACACCTCCTCTGCACCTCCTCTGCACCTGCTCTGTACCTCCTCTACACCTCCTCTGCACCTCCTCTGCACCTCCTCTACACCTCCTCTGCACATCCTCTGCACCTCCTCTGCACTTCCTCTGCACCTCCTCTTCACCTCCTCTACACCTCCTCTGCACCTCCTCTGCACCTCCTCTACACCTCCTCTACACCTCCACTGCACCTCCTCTAATCTCTGTCTCTCTCTGTAGACTTTGTCGTCGATGCCACTCGCAAGGGCAACAAAATCCGCTTTGCAAACCACTCGGTCAATCCAAACTGCTACGCCAAAGGTACGCGTGGCTCTAAAGCAGCTGAGGCTGGAGGTCTGTGCAGAGAATGTTCATGTTTGTGTTTCCTGTCAGTGGTGATGGTGAACGGGGACCACCGGATAGGGATCTTTGCTAAACGAGCGATACTGCAAGGAGAAGAGCTCTTCTTTGACTACAGGTAAAAACATGTGAAATATTTATTGCTTTTCCTACTTTGCCTAATCTTTTCCTAATCTCTACAACAGGATAGAAGGAAAATTATTATTATTACCTTTGTGTTTAGGCGTGAGAAATAGAAACCCATTGTATCCAGCCCTGCTTAGGTTTCCTCCGGGTGCTCCTGCTTTAAAAGCCCACAACAATTGTAAAGCTCTTTTTGACTCTCTTCTGAGGATTACTTACTTAATTAAAATGAGATTTAGCTCTACTGCCATATCACCCAGCCCTACCACACGGCCGATAAACGCTAAATTCATCACTGCATGTGGTGTTGGTGATGGGAGCTGTGCTGGAGAGAAGGATGAGGGCTCTAATGCATCCTGGGTAACTTCAGACACGCTCTACATGACGGTCAGAGGAGTAACCGTAGTAACAGGCTCCTATCACTTCGCTGCCGAACGGAAACGTTTCAAGAGATCCTCAGTTCCTTCGGCTTTCAGACTATCTATCTATCCATCTATCTACAGTACCTACCTCTCTCTCTCTCTCTCTCTCTCTCTCTCTCTCTCTCTCTCTCTCTCTCTCTCTCTCTCTCTCTCTCTCCTCTCTCTCTCTCTCTCTCTCTCTCTCTCTCTCTCTCTCTCTCTCTCTCTCTCTCTCTCTCTCTCTCTCTCTCTCTCTCTCTCTCTCTCTACAGTATCTACCTACCTCCCTATCTATCTATGTATCTACAGTATCTACCTATCTATCTATCTGCAGTACCTACCTACCTTCCTACCTATCCAGTGTTTTGTTTAGTGGCCTAAATGAACACCACATTACAGTATGGATATATGGATATATTTCCTAGCCCTTGATGCTTCTCTTCCTCCCGTGTCTCTGTGAACCGCTCCCACAGATACAGCCAAGCCGACGCACTCAAATACGTGGGCATCGAGCGCGAGTTGGAGATGAATTAAGCCGCTGTTTGTGTCCATAAGTTTCCAGCCGCCATCACTTCTTCTTATGCGGAGTCACACATAAGCCGCCAGCAGGGATCCAGCCCCCCCACCACCCCCCACCCTCCACCATCACCTTCTTCTCTGCTGCATTTCCAAAAATAGCCCCCCTGCCCCTCCCTGGTGTAATGCAGGTGCCTGTTCATTGGAGCTCTCCATTTTGTGACAAACCGTGTAAGCCACAGCTCTGGATCCAAGCTAAGCCAATGTTAAGCTGAAAAATACTATATCTGTACGGTTTTAACGCACTAAAGAATATACAATGTTGGTTTGTTTTCTGTTGTTGGAGAAAAAACAAAATGCGCTCATCTTTAGACTGGCTTTTGTTTCTGTTAATTTTTTGTTTTTGACGTTGGTGCAAGTAATACTACAGCAATGCATGTGCTAAACCTCTGATAGTTACTAAGGCTTCTCTTCAGCAGTCCGTGGTCTTTCATGTGATGTTAACCATTCTTTTATGCGGCAGCGCCAACACTGTCTCCAGTATATGCTACAATAAGCTAACGTGCATCTATATATCTCCAGAAAAAAGGCAAACAGACAAGAACCGACTGACTGAATGTAAGCGTAGAGGAGGAAACGAGAGGCGAGAATCTGAATGCTGTTCGTGACGCCATGCTAGACGCACAAAAAAGACATATTTGGAATTGGAATGAGGAAAGTCAATTCTGTAATCTTTTGCAGTTCCAAAATGGGACTTTTGTGGATTTTCAGTCTAACGTCAGATAAGATATACTTAATTAATCTCACACAGGAGCAATGTACGTGTCACATCTGGTCATGTTAAAGCAGGATATATTATATACAATAAAAAGTAGAAACAGTGTCAATAGTAGTGCAGTTCTTTCCAGTCTTAATGCAGTGACTTGTTGTACAGTCTGACAGCGGTGGGGATAAAGGCCCTGTGGTAGCGCTCATTCTTGCACCGAGCATTTTTATAAACCTAGGGAAAAGCCAGTTTAAATAAAAAACATTGATTATCACACATTTTAGTTTTTTTTTTTTGGAGAGTTAGGATTAGGTTTTCTTTAGTTTGGTTTCTATGTGTTTTTTATATAGGGTTATTTACAGTGAGAGAATAGTGAGGACGTTAAACTACTTTTACTGCTAAAATATGGATAGTTTAATCTAATTTTTAACTTATTAAATTAAAAAAATCTAAATTAGAAGATACAAGAATTTCTTTGCCATTTGCAGTAAAACCCCTTTGAAAAAACTGTGCAAGACCTCAGTGTGCACCAAATGACCCTGGGTTACTCAGACCTTTTTAGACTAAGTTAGGATATGTTTTCTCTTGACGCCAGGACAGAGATATAAGTCTTTGATCCACATTTTCCTAAATCCAAATCCTTTCAAAACTGTGTAGATTAAAGAAGTCCACAACAGCGCCTGCAATTATTCAAACAATTACAATGAAACAATATGTTCTCAATAATATTTTTGATTGTATCTTGAGATTTTATCATTTTAACGCAGCACTGAATCCCAGTTTGGACTTGAGAAGATTCTTGATGCAGAAAACGTGATGTCACTGAACCTTCAGATTCTAACCTCTCACGGTCTAAGATCTCATTCCTGATTGATTTTATAAAGTCAAACTGTCGTATCTAGCACTCGAGATGTTTACATTATTTTAGGCCTCAGTTTTAGACGAGTTTCAGATGAATGAACCTGTTGTCTTCCTGTGAAACATAGAATGAAGTGCCAAAACAAATCCATCGTGGATTGATCACGTTAATGACAGATTCAAGAGAGTTTAACATTTATCAAATCAAATCTATCTGTTTTTGACCAAAAATAAATTCCCCTGATGTGAATGTTATGTACCGTGAAAATGCTCTCACTGAAGTCTTTTCTTTTTTTCACATTGAGATGAGATCTGTAAATGGAAATCGATCCAATGGAGTTACTGTTAATACAGTGTATGCCTAAAATAAAAGTCTAACTTTATACATTACACTGTGCTGTCGTTCTATTTCTTTGGATTTTATGGGACTCTCTAAAAACATTTGCAGTAAATCATAAAAAATAATACATTTTGTTTATTAAAGTTAAAAATAAAAAAGTAACATGAAAATGGACTGGATGGAAATAAATAAAAATGGCCAGTGGAATGTTGGGTCACAGGGAGCAGGCCAGTCGGAAAATGTGTGTTTTAAGTGAGGTATTGGAGTTGTATTGCTATAATTTGTGACATTTTTGATTATGAATTAAAGCTGGGGCACTTAACTTTCAAACTACTAAATATATTCTAATATTCATCCATCGAGTTCTTCTGTCTCAAAACAGTTTGGTTCTGTGACTAGTTTTCATTTTCATATACTTTGGCTTTGGATCAGGGTGTTCAGACAGAAAAGTGAAAGATAGATTACTGTTGTTGCTCGTCCAATCAGGTGGAAAACCAACCTGAACCAGAACCAGTCCAGGACCAGAACCAGTTATAGAAACAAAGCAACCAAAAATGGGTGGAGTTTCAATCTAGAAAGTCAGTTTTAAGACAAAAAAAGGTACATACACTGAATCTCCCAAAACTAAAAGCTCTCAAATTCTACATACCCTTTATAATGTTCACTCCTTGAAGAAGCTGCAGGAGCACAAATAACTAAAAGAATATTTATTTTTGACTACTGACTACTTCACAATATTTGGTCTGACCCATCATAAAGCTCAAACATTAATTACTGCTTGTATATGCGCAAAAGTAATACAACAATTAAAAAAACACACACATTATTTTTCAAGCATCTTTTATTCAGGTGACATGTTGGATTTTTCATTTTCATCCACAGTAATGGTCATTTACAGTGCGGCTTTTCAAAACAATACATTCCTACAAACTAAATTCGGTAAAAACACACAAACGTCAGTGTTAGTTGAGCGCGGTTAGACTCCTTCTGGTCTTCTCTGCGTGCGATCTTTGACTCGGGCGGACTTTAACGGTAGTAAGTGCACAGAGCAGCGGTGGTGAATGAATGAAACGGACTTGGATTCGACAAAAAAGCTACACAAAAAATGGCAATTGTGCATCACTTTTTACACTGCTCTGATTGGTTGGTTGTGTTGACATGATTTCAGTGCGATTACAGACGTGTTACATGCGGCAAAGAAGCAGCTCATACGGAAAAATGTGCAAAATACATGTGTGTGCATCAGTAAACACATCTCAAAACTGATCTGAAGTCAATGGGTTTGTCTGTGACTTTGATTCATTTGCTTTTACCATTTTTTTCAGACACTTTTAACACTCATAAGCACAATGTCACTTTTGAAATGCTTTTTAATTGTTTTATACTTTGAATGCATAAATGTTTGAATAGATTTTATGTGATTTTATTGTAATCACATAAAATCCATCCACAATCCATTTTATTTAAAGGGCTCTTTAAATAAAATGGATTGATTGGTTTTGTGCTACATGGTCCCAGTATTTCTTAGCCCCACGAGCTAATTGTCATTCGAAGTGGCCTGGTCCATCAGATTGGATTCGGCTGCATATCTGGCAACCCGGGTCAGGGAGAGTGGACTATAGAATTTTGATTGCGGTACCACTTTTGGCCATATTTTTACGTATACCTCCTTTAAAGGTGATATTTCATGGTCAGAAAGATTGTATATTTCTGACCATGGGGACACATTATGTACGGTGAGTAATTCTCAACAACAATATACTGTATATATAAAAAATAGATCTTCCCTTTCACATGATTATGATCCAGTATGATGTGCTGGAGTTGACGAGAGGCTTCAAGGTTTTAAACTAACTTCGACCAATCAGAAAGCTGCGGCGATGAGCAGGGGCAGGTCTAACCAGTGTTTGTCTTCACTCTCACTTCTTCAATTTCAAAAGTGCCATTTACTTTAGGCTCCCTAAAGTAGCTAGCTCCCACTTTAGGAACATACTGTATGCTTCTCAAGGACATTGCACTAGTAGAAAAAAAATAGTTAGCAAAAACTAGGACAAAACTTAGCTAAAAACTGCTTTTATCATGCAATAGTCTATGTATTTTGGTTTGATATTATGCCTTAAAACTTTACAGAAGCAGTAAAATTTTCTCATATAATTTGTCTTATAATACACTCGCCGCTACTAGAATATTTTACTTTTCTCTCAGCATGATAAAATGTTGTACTTTATTCAATTACAGATTGTATTAGTTCTTAAAACCCTACATCGGAAATCAAACATCAGACTATACTCAAATCAGTTATTAGTCAGAGTTATTTCACCTCTTTTCACAGTACAGTTTATTGATCATCAGAGTGACAAAACCAAAACAATATTAATTTGGTATCTTTTAAAATATTCTAAAACTTGTCCATAAAACACAGTTGGTAATTGTTTAAATTAACAATAAAATCAGCCAAAATAAGTATTTGTGTAAATGACTAGATTGTTCTGTCTGTGTTACTGATGCATTTGAGCTATGGTTACCATAGCAACTCTCATTACATTCTTGTGAAATATAAATCAGTGGCTTTCTCCTAACACAACTGGACACACTTCTGCGAACATTACGCATTGGACAAAGAGAATTCTCAAAAATATAGCTTGATTTTGCCAAATCTACATTTTCTTACATAACAGTGTTGGCAGTGACGTTCAGACACTGAATCCTGAGCTTTCTGAAACTTCCCACGGATTTACAATCAGGACACTCCCATTGAAAACATTGTATAAAAAAACATTGTACACAGTTTTTACATTGACACCCATTACATCCTAATTGCTATTTTGCGAATGATTAGCAGTGCAGGAGGAAGCTCTATTTTTGTTATTGCAGGATTTTGGCGTCTACAATGCATAGCAAGAATATGGCAGATGTTATTGTTAGGTAGAACTGAGTGACAAGTGGAAGACCTAGAAGCTTTGGTTTTGTTCTGTACATCCTTTCATTTAACCAGAAGCAGCTAGAATAAAGTAACAGCAAAGAAGCTAGCACAAGAGGGAACCGTCTTGTTCTTGAAAATATTGAGGTTAGGGTTATGTTTTTTGGGGCATAGACTTCCGCCTTTGTCAGATCCATAGACTGTATATATTAACGGATGTAGTGACACCTATCTCCCGCCGTTCTAACTAATGGGCCAAATCTTGGGCTCTTGTGGAGTGATTCAAAATGGCCGCGGGGGCTGAAAAAAGTGAAAAAATATGCATGCGTCAGTCGGCACGAGCCCCATTCATTTAAACAAGTGACTTAAAAAATTCACAGCAAGTAAACTATACTGGTCCAAAAAACTTCACTCCCCTCAGCATTGACACACATGTGGAACGGAGCTTTGGGCCAAGAGCCAACTTTTGGACCATCCTGTAAAGGTGTTTTCATGAGGTAAGAAGATGCTATTTGTTAGCATTGGCTAATTCTTATCCCGGGTCCACCCCCATCGGCTCGGGGTGGTATTGCAGCATGTCAATGCACTTCATTTTGGCCACTTTTGAGCCGGGACCCACCCCCACTGGTCAGATCTCAGACTGACCACGCCCTCCCGCCGTGCTGTGGTCTCTGGAGAAGTGAGTCCTAAGTGTGAGGCAAGGTGACAGCCCCCTCGTCTCGGTTGATGGTCCATGTGCCCCGCTTCCTGATTTCAATCGCCTCTCGTCTTCATCTTTTGTATTTACGTTCTTCCATTCCAACTATTATTGCTTAGTGCCAGTATATATGTGTCTTTCAAATATTGCTGATTTGAGGTTTTCCTGTGTTACTTTTTCCTTGGTTGATCTTAGTTAGTGGCCCTACCATTTCTCACAAAGGCGAAAGTCTAGGTAATCGAGCAGTTTTTTGCACTTTTTTTAAATCTTAAGATCCTTCTAAGCCGTAAACATAAAGGGTTAGGGTTACGGTAAGCATATACAAGTCCGCTGTACATTACTTAGCTTGGAAAGTGTTAAAGTCTCCCTCATTCTTGCATTATTTGCTATTGGTCTTCACGAACTGTCAACAAAAAAAATGTCAAAAACCACGGTAGCACCATGTCTCTGTAAGCTACTGGAGTCACACACACGTAAAACGATACACACTAAGTTTCTTCCTGGCTTCAATTTAACATCACATTGTAGATTTTGAGCCTATACCGTGAAAGCAGCAAACTACCGTGAGATCCGTGGAGCTGCGTTCTGTTCTAAGCAGCGATGCAGAATAACCAACAAGTAGAAGCATACGTCTTAATAAGTCTCAAAGCTTAACATGTCTGACCTCCATTTGAATAGTGTGATATCTAGGAATCAGCCATAACATTATGACAACCATACCCCATTGTGTTCCATTGTTTTTTATTCATGGGTTTCATACATGATGGAAAATAGTGAGAAATAGTGCCATGTGATAAACCATTTAAAATTAGCTTCTACATATTTTGAATGGAGAAAGGGATTTTTTTCTATGTGGGCAATAAATTAGGAACTTCTCTATAAACACTTTTTTTTTTTTTTGCTTTCATTCTCCAATTTCGACTGCATAAAGAAATTTATGAGATGTCTATGCTTCAAATAGGCTTGTTTCAGAATGTACCTAAGAAGCCCAAGATCCAATTTACTAAAACCAATTCAAACTAGTTATTAATGTAGGCAGATCTCTATGTACAGTATCTCTCATCGAATGTATATATGTTTATGATTAACCTTCTTCAATCCACAATATCATCCAATTCTCCAAAACTTTCCCCAAACCAATCCAAATTCAAAACCTTTTAAAAATTAGCTTCTTTTTCCCATCGTCCAAATGATTGACACCTGTCCAGTACAACAATTTGTCTTCTATCCAACAGATCTGTGCCTGGTCATAATGTTATGGCTCATCTCTGTTCAGTAGAAAAGCTGCAACTGTGAATCTGTGGTTTTCTGATGGCTCCGTTAAAGATTGTCTACGATACATTTATCTCTCCATTTCTGACAAATCAAACATGACAATATAAGACTGCTTTACTAGACCACCCATGAAGCCGTACGCCCACAGTTAGACCTCAACCTCAAAACCGGTTATGTATTTTATTTTTAGACCAAGCTTCTAACAGGCACTTTAATATTTCACCCTGCTAAACTGTACAGTGTGAGACTTGGCTTCTCACGCGACACACGGGGCTCGAACTCAAAACCAAAATAAACTAGTGATGTATTACGGAGCACCAGGCGTCAATTTCCACTTCATGAAAAAAGAATCTATGCTTTGCTGCTAATGTTCCACCACAGTCATGAGTCCATAGCTCACAACATGTAGCTCGCCAACTTGTAGCTCACCAACCTGTAGCTCGCCAACCTGTAGTACGCCAACATGTAGCTCACCACCCCTTAACTCGCACACCTTATAGCTCGCAAACCTCTGGCTTGCCAACATCCAGCTCGCAAACCTATAGCTCACCAAGCTGTAGCTCACCAACCATATAGCTCTCCACTCTCGAGCTTGCAAACCTCTAGCTCGCCAAGATGTAGCTCTCCAACCTATAGCTCGCCAAGCTGTGACTCGCAAAGATGTAGCTCGCCAACCTATAGTTCGCCAACATGTAGCTCGCCAACCTCTAGCTCGCCAACATGTAGCTCTCCAACCTATAGCCGGCCAAGCTGTAGCTCGCCAAAATTGGTTCTTTATTGATCTATGACTGTTTAAAGCGTCAAAATAATAGTTTAGCTATTGGAAAAACAGTATTTTTTTGTGAAGACCTGCCAGATGACTGGGGAAAAGTACTCTTCCTGATCAAGAAGGGAAACACGTTGTATTAGTAACCGGAATAATTTAGTCGATTCAATGGTGAGCTCTCCTTAGATGGGGTTAGAAGTCCATGCAACAGTGTATTATTAATTAGTGAACTAATTTAAAGTACGCATTTACAGTAGTTGAATTGTACACGTTGTATTAATCATAGTCCGGCCATTTCAAAATCTCTGGAGAGCTACTTGGGTGAGCTATTTGGAGAAAATAACAGATTATTACCACACTATGAAGAGCATTAGGCAAAGCATTCAAAACCATCTGAGCAGGTGGACAATCTCTGCAGTTATTATACATATAGTGAACTTTAAAAATAAATTAACATAAAACAAAAATACAAAAAATGTACAAAAACAAAACTAGCTTGAGTGCTATTTCCCTGCCTCACCATCCGCCAATATAAGCCCCTCCCATCACACGGTACCATGGTTCATATGTGAAGCTAGCCCGTCCTGAACTCCTCTTCTATCTCCGGCAGAGACCTCTTGATGTCGCGGCGGAGAGTTTCAGTCAGAGGTCTCGAGCTGCTTGGAGACTCCAGGTTTTTGGGTTCGTTGGTGTGGTAACTACCCTTTTGCTGATAGGCGTACACGTAGATGCTATAGAGGCCAGCCAAGAAGAGCAGGAGGGCAAGCGCCGCGATGACTGCAAGAGAAAAGACCAGCCGCATTTACCAAACAGTGTTACTAACAGAGCTTGCATACAGACTTTGATAAATCACTGATCTCCCTGCACTTGTGGGTGGAAAATCGGGAAAGACGATCCTGCCTGAGCTTGCGTCCTCTTCCCGTCTCCTATTCACCATATAAGAACGTAGCGTGTATGAATGAACTACGAAGCGAAGAAGAAGAAGAGTGGAAGAGTTGGATGGAAAGAGAACTCTGCTTTTGTCTCGTTGTGTCATTACAATATGGGTGTTCGTTAAGAAGACGGACGTTTGTGATTGCCTAAGGTCCTCAAAAGGCAGGTGTGGCTGCAGGATTTCATTACAACCAAGCAGGAGCACACCAGACTCAAGTTTTCAGGGTAAGACTGGACTCACTTGAGGAAATGGGTGGAGTCTGGTGTCTGGTGCTGGCCCTTCGAGGACCGGTTTAGATAGAGATATAGATATGGATATAGACAGATAGATACTTTATTGGATGCCTCCCTGGGGAGGTGTTCCGGGCACGTCCCACCGGGAGGAGGCCCCGGAGAAGACCCAGGACACGCTGGAGGGACTATGTCTCTCAGCTGGCCTGGGAACGCCTTGGAGTCCCCCCAGACGAGCTGGAGGAAGTGTGTGTGGATAGGGAAGTCTGGGCATCTCTGCTTAGACTGCTGCCCCCGCGACCCGGCACCGGATGAAGCGGAAGCAAATGGATGGATGGATGGATGGAGATACTTTATTGATCCCTGTACGAGAAATTCAGGTGTAGCAGATAAAAAAAAAAGAAGCTAACAATAGTAATAATAAGCAACAGCCCTGGCCTTAAGGATAAATGTGGAATATTTGTGTGTGTGTGTGTGTGTGTGTGTGTGTGTGTGTGTGTGTGTGTGTGTGTGTGTGTGCGTGTGTGTGTGTGTGTGTGTTTGTGTGTGTGTGTGTGTGTGCGTGCGTGTGAGCCAAGCAAAGTCTGTTGTTTGTAGCATGCGCGTTCATGACCATAGATCTTAGATGGTCAGTCCTGAGTCCAGCCTGATGTCAGACTCCTGTGCAGATTCCTATTTCGAATGTTTTTGCTTCACACAGATGAATTTATCTTCACACATCGAGAAATGATTTGTTTTATAATGAATAGTTTCAGAAACACCCACTCTCTCAGGCCCTGACCCTGCCCTCCTTCCTCTCTTCTTCTCAGAGACCACACAAACGCAGTCTCAAGTTGCTATGGCGATCAGTTTTTGATCAATTCCAACTTTGACTCAGAAATATTGCCTTGTGCAGTTCTTGTCAGTACAAAGACTAAGAAAATCTCACCCCAGATCTGTCAAAGGGAAATGAACAAGAGGCTGAATCATTTTAACCAGAGGTGCCTTTTTGTCTACCAATCAGAAGGCACGATTGAGTAGTACTAAAACTCAATGAACAACTTAGCAAAGATTGTCAAAGCTATACAGGTATTAAAGCATTAAAGGTAGACTGTGTAGTTTTTACTCCCATCTAACACTGAGGTCATATATTGTAATCTACAGAACTACGGTAGCTTCTCAGGACAATATGTGGTCTTTGACAGTGGCCCCCAACTCCCGCTAAAACTCCTTTTTGTCCCTCATCAACCACTGTATTTAAAGATCAAAGCGGAGTAAAATTATGGAATTGAATGGAAGCTGTTTTAAAACGTTGCCATAATATTTATAATTTCTAAAAAATATTTAAAAGAGAAACATCGTAATATTTATACACAGCTTTGATTATTTTCTTGTGTCGTTTTTGTCTATCTGGTTGGATAATCTTGAAGTCTTGAAGTAGTTACAGGGAAGTCGGAAGGGTTTTTATTTGTTTTGTTAAATTGGTTAAAGTAGAAAAGGGGGCGGGGTTGTGTGTACTTCTTCCAGCTCCCTTTCGGACTTGACTGTTTATTTCGATTTTTTCCTTGAGGGAACAAATTGTACATTGTACATTGTACAATTTTTTTTATTTTTTATATTATTTTGTATTGTCCGAATAAACACAAATTCATTCATTCAAAAAATGTTTGGATTGACATGTAGAGTCCTCCAGCCTCATGGACAATTATAAGTCAATTTCTAAACCTATAACAACAATTCAGAAACATGGTGGAGGTAAATATTCTTCAAAAGGTCACAAACACAACATTTTTTGTTTTTTTTTCCATTTGGAGCAACTGTCAAAATAACACAGAGTACCTCTAAGAAAAAAATGTGCAGTAGAGTTAATGGTCGTAAACAGCGGCCGTTTGTTGGCGATCATTACAGCAGCATGAAAGCGGATGAATGCCTTCCTCCCTTCGGCGCTGCAGGTTTTAGCGCGACGGCCGATAAGCGTGAGGTCGTTGTTCTGAACGCTCCGCTAATCTCTAACGACACGCTGATGTGCGGCATTACCATAACACCTCCTCATCTCACACATGGGTAAAGCTGAAGGACCTATCGTGAGCCTGCTGCTGTGTTCGACAATAAGGGTTGATATTATGTTGAAAATAATGTGTCTGCTTTCAGTCTGGGGATAATTATGACATGTTTCCACCAACACTTGTTATTACTATTTCATTCATTTACTAGTTTTCTGATTTGGGATTTTTTTGGAATAATTTGGGATAAATGTCTCCAAGTGCATCTTAAAACTGGGATTTATACAAACAAAAAATGGCACTGTTTGATCCATTAAGCAACATTTATTTTTAGATTTTTTTATCAAGATTTTTAAGAGAGATGCTATACTTGTTTCTTTGATGGTAGAGTTAGATGTGTTGTTTTATTTAAATTAGTAGAGAGATATTGTTCATTCATCTGGTGCTGTGTGTTCCTCATTCCTACTGTTCGGTAACTTGTGATGCAACACTGGAATTTCCCCGCCGTGTGACAAATAAAGGATCTCTTCATCTAATCTTAATCTTTGGTTCGAACAGAAAGGTAAAAACAGAGGGACCACTTTTGCTCAACCAATCAGCTCCCAGCCCTAAGCGTCAAACAACTATTGAGAATCAAAAAAAAATTCTCAAACGTTGGCTAAATATTGAGGTATGATTTATTCACACAATGTAGCTTTTAAAAGGCTCTTTATATTATGGATTTTGAGATTCCTGATGGAAGATTTCTTGGGATCATTTTTTCTTGATACTAAGTTTTTCTTGATACTGAAAATGTATAAAGTTTGTCTTACCTATTATCCAGAACAGCCCTAGGTCGTCATGGATGTAGATGTATTCTAAAAAACACAAAGGGAACAAAATTAAAAACTTTGCACGACAAGGCAAGGCAAGTTTAATTGTAAATCACAGTTCATACACAAGACGACAAGTGCTGAAGGAAACAAGAAGGCAATAAAACCATAAATAATCACTGTTCATTAAAAATAGTAAAAAAATAAATAAATCTTTGTTGTTACCTATGGTGGTAAACCAGGGGTCCACCTCCCAGGGCACGTATCCCAGCACAGGGGGGAAGGCTCCGCACACGGACTCGGTGACGATGCCTTGTGTGGTCACCGGAGGATCTGTCACGTTCGGTCTGAAATACGCCTTCAGAGGAGCGTACACGTTGTACCGCACTCCTGATATACAGCCGATAAACCCAGGGGCGTTGTGCTTCTGGATCTCATAGTCGATGTCTCCCACCTCTGAGAAAACACGTCCCAACAGCCAGAGAATGAGAGAGGCCAAGATGCGTTTTTTTTCAAATAGAGATTATTTGTGTCTTTACCCATAACTCGGCCGAGGAACATGGATTTGGGCGAGTCAAATCTGGCATCTTCCACTAAAGTGATTTTCTCCACAATTGGCTCCATGAAGTCCACCTGAGGAAAGAGCAACATAACTATATTTTTCGTCATCAGCATTTGTTCAGTGTTGGCGTACAAGGTTAAACGGGGAGTTAAAGGGGGATGTTATTCCTATCCACAATATGTTATTAAACACTTATACTGTATGCCAACAAAAGATGTTATAGCTTAAACTTTTTATCCACCTCCAGAAATGCACTTTCCTAGCCTGGTCTTACCACACCATTGTACAAATTTCATTTTGTACCAAGGTCTGGATTTTCTCCGTTGATCTCAGTTAACAGGTGGGAGGGGTTAACTCCTTTTGCAGATTGAAACGATTGGATCTGAGACGTATGTAATGAGCCCGAGTGAGTGAGGCATTTAACATTTAGCCTAGCTTTAGCATCCAGCCTAGCTTTAGCCATGTCCTTTGCCACTTACGGAGCCTGTGGGGAGTAGAGCCACAACATCTTTGCAGTAATGACATTTGATAAACATTCCTCTTGCTCCGGCTTCAATTTCTTGATATTTGGAAACGAACCAGAACAGATTACTTTACTATTGCGTTCTCCGCCATGGACAAACTACAAGCTGCAAATTCTTGATATCACCGACACCGACCTAAAACACCCGCCTCCCCCGCTGTCTGATTGGTCAGAGGGGATTCAACCAATGAAACTGCAGCCACAAGAAGCAGACCCAGACGTACAGTACATGAAGGAAATGATCCTTTACCAGAGTTTACACATGGAAAAGGCCAGACCAGGACTATTGTGTTCATGTAAAAATATTACATGAGCACAATAGTGCTAATGTAATACATGGGTGTTTCTTTGCACCTATGTAGACATGGGTGCTAAGAAACCCATGTCTACATGAGTTTCTTATGAAAATATATGACTCAGATTATAAATCAATCTGTACTATCATTATGCGTGAATAGTCCTGAGTAGAGATGAGGATCAATCAAACAAGTTCCAAGAATAACAGAGTGGTCTGGGGTCGATGACCGCAGCACTGTCGCCTTGACCTCCTAGTTAATTATTTCTATGGTGTGTACAGATCGTCCTGAAAGTGACTAAAACTAGGTCAAAGACATACTGGTTCACATCAACCTGGGTGAGAGTTGTCAAAACCTTGTGGACTTTCCTTTTCTTGGACCTTGGATAGCTAGGTCTGTCACATTTTTATAGAAAGATAGATAGATAGATAGACAGATAGGTAGATAGAAAGATAAATAAAAATTGCTTAAAATAAAAAATACATTGAGCCCCAAAATACTGTATATTTCTCAATCCATCAGTTGCATCAGTTATAAAACAAAATCGTAATTATCATCATATAATTTGAATTTCAATTGATTCATTCATGACACCACAAAAACAATCAACTAAAAGAAAAACATAAATGATCAGCAATGGAGTGAAAAATCTCCTGAAGCGTCTCAACTAAAGCTTGTTGGATTAAAATAGGTTAAAATGGGTTAAATCCCTGTTCCGCGGTGAATGTTGGCCGCTCACCTGTGTTTTTATGGTTCTGTTGTGTCGGGTGATGTTGATGTAGTGAGGGAATCCGTCTGCGAGGTTCCTCCGCGTCAGTTCATATTTGTGAGTGATCAGACCCAGTTTGTACCGTAAGTCCACGCTCCCTGAGAGAGGAAATCAGAGCAGATATGAAGTGAAATGAATTCTGAAGGTGATCGACCCAGATTTGGTAAAAATGTTTAGTGCGTGAGGCTAGATTGGAGAATAAAACCGTTTTTTAACACATGGAAAATATCCTTTTGTCTCCTGTTATTATCATGGACCAGCTTTGATTCTCTAATCTGTGTTGGCGAATCGGTTTTGGTAAAGTCCTCCAAGATAACAACTGTTGTGATTTAGGGTAATACAAAAAATGCATTGAATCGAGTGGATTTGAATTTGCTGAATGTAGAAGAAGCCGATTTGAACATGAACAATTTCCTTAAATTCTGGCGCAAACAAACTAAGCTGGAGTTGATGGGTAAATCCTTATGGCTCATTTCTGGATTAACAAAAAAACTATAACAACATGAGAGTTTTGTCAGAGCAGGTTGGAGCAAAACTTTGTCCATGAGCACTTCCCTATTGGGCGTCATTGAGCTAGTGAGTTAGCATTGTCCATCTATATACAGTCTATGACACGGCCCATGTTGTCCTTCGCTTAATACAAATGCATAAGAATGACATACATAAAGGTTGTATGTCTGTTTTTTGGTATTTAGAGAAGATTAAAGAAAAGTAAAGAAAAAATGCAGTGACAAAAGCCAGCTCCGGAATTTTTTTTTTTATCTCTCACCGTCCATTTTGAGAATCACAGCAATGTAGTCCTGCACGAAGGAGCTGATGTAGAGGAGCACGGCCGGAGTGTGGACGGTGCTGAAGCTGAACTCGATGTCGTCCGCCGTGTCGTTGTAGCCCAGGCTGAAGTTATCGTAGTGCGGGTCGATCCAGATGGCCCACGCCGCCTCGTCCGTTATGGGCTTCTTCAGGATGTTGTACTTCAGCCAAGAGCCCACCTCAAAGTAGGCTCCGATGTCTAAAACGTGAGGAGAAAAAATAAAAACCATCAGATTTTTCCTTTTTCTGGAGATGAGGAGTCACAATATGAAAATCAACGTTTATTTTCCCGTTTCTACATTATACATAGACAATCTTTTTGACTAACAGGATTTTGAAGTGATATTAACCCTTTAGACGCCAGAGGTTTTTTTCAACTGTTTGATTCTCTGATCTGTGTCGGCGAAATGATGACTATCAAACTTCTCTGAGATAAATACTGTTGTGATTTAGGGCTGCACAAAAATGAATTGGATTGAATCAATAGAGAATGTGCAAAAAGAGTCAAGAACCTCACCTTTATGACAGTAGAAGCCGTCGTAGGCCGTGTTGTTGCAGTCGCACCAGTAGGAGGCGTAGCCCTCGATGCACTGCCCGGCGTTCCGACAGGGGATGGTGGCGTTGACGCACTGACCGCTGCAGTTTCTCCGGATTCCTTGTTCCTCGTTGACTTTTCCTTCTAAATCGTACGGAACTCCATTGAGCCGCAGCCCGCGCAGGCAGCCCAGGAACGGACGGTGAGTTTTATTGGCTGCACCTGGAACGAGAGCAGATCGTTTCGTCCATAAATAGATGATGTCGTTTGTTCAAAGACGTTCGCTCAAAGTCGTTCGGACATTTTAATAAATTACACTGAACTGGCGTTGGACTGCACGAGCTGTGAGAGGTGACATTGGAATGTTGTTGAAGTTATCAATGTAATAAGTCATATTTGGCTGATATACTGAAAGGTTGTCTTGTCACTTTGGCTAAACGTATTTGAATCACGAAGAAAAGTAAAGTATTTAGTATTGTCTTGTGAGGTCTTTGTGGCACAATGGCATCACACTATTTCACATGACAGGAGCTTTTATACGGGCCAGAGTTACTTTGCTATATTTGTGCCAGAGGTTCCTGATATCAGCGTGGAAGGATGTAAAAACTTCAGCTCAGCATCAAAGTTCATGATGCCAGGAAAAAATACTAAATAAGTTTTCACCCTGTGTGACCCTTGAATGATTGTAAGAACCTCATTTCATGAAAATAAACGTGAGGCACAGCAGACAACTCACTATGCATCATGTTATTATTCTCTTCATAGACAGTTGATGTGGATTTTCCCCTAATCTGTCCATGCCCCTTCTATGGCAGGCTGAATGGCTCCTGGCTGACCCCGCAATATCAATCCAGTGTTAAGTGACACCACGGCTAGGTATATTTATGAATATGGAATCTCTCTTTGGGGTCTCTTGGTGGATGCATAAACTCTCTGCTGGAGAACATGAGGCCTAAAACAAAGACCCAGTCTCTGGGTTGCACAACCTCTCACTCAGGTTGTGCAAAAATACAGGAAGTGTGCAAACATATTAAAGGCTAAAAAGTCTCTTTTGTGCAGGATAATACAATAAAAGTACAATAAAAAGAGCAGGATGGACTCACCGACGAGCAGAGGCTGTGTGAACTTCATGGTGACAAAGGTTTGACCCGGGAACCTCCTCACGGTCCACGGCTGCCAGTCCACTTTGATGCGAGCCACTTTCACGTTGAGCTCGGCTTGAACAAAGTGCCACTCGTTGTCGTCGAGAGGAACTGGAGAGCGGTGCGTGACGTTGAGGATGCCATCGCCGACCATGAAGATGAAGAGCAGGTTATGAGTGGCTGAAGAGAGGAACAGACACAAGTATTATAGTAAAGATGTTAAATGTGCAGTGTGTACTCAACTCAGCCCGCGGGCCAATTGCGGCCCTCTTTGCTATTTTATTTGGCCCCCTGCTGCTAACAGAAAGTCGCCATTGAGGCACTTTAACAGTGTCATCCAACCAACTTCAGCTCCACCAATACAGTCATGCTATACCTTGTTGTAAATCTCAGACCCTCTGGAATTCAGTCGTCTACTCTATTGTTATACTCCGACATTTATTTTATGATTATTTCACAACATTATAAATAAAATGTAGCTGTGGTGTGAATCAATGACACATCATCACCCATCTCCCAGAATCCAGTCAATCCAGCTCATTCCAGTTTTTTAAATCCAGCTTTTCGGCCCCAGTTCAAGTCTGATGAACTAAAGTGGCCCTCTTGCTAAAAAGTTTGGACACCAGTGGGTTAGGCAGTCTTGACCGCTTCTTATTGTAAAGAGTACATGATTTTAGAAAAACATGTCAGCCAAGATCTAAATGTTCATAATGATCAAAGAAAATAAACTACTGCTGTGACTGGGAGGACTTGCACAATTGGAGGCTACTGAGGAAATATGTTTCTGCCCCACTGTACGTGTCCATGTGAGGAGACTTACTGTTGAGTTCCACCCGTATGAAGTTGCGGAGGTGGTCGTCGGAGCTCTCCAGGAACACACAGTTTGCTCGGTAGGTTTTGAAGTGAAAGGAGATGTCTGCGCTCGACCCGGGTTTGAAGGTGGGGAACGTTATGTAGGTGGGCTTTGTGAACGAGACGGTGTTCCAGATATTTCCTGCAAGAAACATAGATGTCAGTGTCCAGTGAGACTTTGGAATTTTGTATTTGTATTTGTCACGGTAAACTCAGATCCAATCTTTTCAAAAGGAGTTAACCCCTCCCACCTGTTAACAAAGCTCAATGGAGCGAATCTAGACCTTAGTATGAAATGAAATTGGCACGATGGTATGTTTGTGTCAGATCTCAGTCAAACAAGGATTAGTCAAAACAAAGGAAGGTTTCTCAGGAAGGTTGATCATCTGTAATTCAGTTAGCGAGTTTTCCCAACGTTTCGCTCTTATCCAAAGACATTTTTCTAGGGAATGAAAGCCCAGCCGCGAGTTGGAGATTTATAACCTGTGGGTGCGCTTAGACGGTTGGGGCTAACTCATTAACTCATCTAACCCTGCTAGGCCCCGGGGATTATGATCTGCATCAAGCACAGATCCTCTCAGAGCAAGGCCACCGCCGGGGCCTCTGCGTCAAACTAATAAACAACAAACAAAACTCGCAATCAATAAAACTTTGAAACGCATCTCGTCTCGTTGTCGTCTCTCCAGATTGAAGTACTCACGGTCTCCATGGCAACGCAGAGGTCCGACGGTAAACTGTGCCTCTGATCCGGTTCGGTTGGTGTCCCCCACCACCACCCTCCACACAGGCAGGTGGTCTCGGAAGTCCAGGTAGCCTTTGTCGGAATACCTGGAAATTACATCCTGGTGTCACTGATATAGAAAGACTGGTGGAAGGCAAGGGTATTACATGGGTTACTTTAAATTGTATTACTTTATTGCACGTTTTGATGGTAAGAAGTTATTATCGTCTCTCATGGCAGGTTATACATCAATTTAAAGCAATAACCATAACTTTATCTAGTTTGTTTTATAGTTTTCTGGTATTCTAAACATTGAAGCCAAAATGCAGTTAGTAATAGTTTGTTGATTAGTCCACCATAGAAATCATTGCTTATTGTTCAAGTTTTGGCTCACTCCAGACAAAACGGAGGTAATTTTGTTCAGAAAAAAATGCAACGTTAAATTATATCATTCTTTAAGTCACTAGAGCCGCTCATGTGTTTCTGTGAAGCGGTATGTGGTGTTGTTGTACAGGCGCTATACATATAAAGTGGACACAACCATAACCGTATGTATGCAGCGTCTCACCATTGTCTGTAGTCGGCGTCGCAGTTGCACTGGAACCTCGGGTCCACGCAGGTTTGGTTGATGGCGCAGCCGCATTTCTGGATTTCTCTAAAAGTCCCTCCCCAATAGTAGTGGCTCTCGTTATTGCGGCCGATCCAGTATCCGAAGGGCCGTCCACCTGTCACATCAGACACACGCATCACAACATGCTATAGCTCTGGGTTTTGGGTTCGATTCCACCTCCTGTTTGCGTGTTGTCCCTGTGTCTAGGTTTCCTCCAGGTGCTCCGGTTTCCCCTACAACTAAAAACATGTGCAGTAGGTCTGAATGTATGGTGTTAGGTCCTGGGTTCGATTCCACCTCCAGGCCATTCTGTGCGGAGTTTGTGCAGGTTTTTTCTGTGTCTATGCCGGTTTCCTCCAGGTGCTCCGGTTTCCCCTATCACTGTAGGGGAAACCCTGTAATATTGTAGGTCCCGCAGCTTTAATCATCTAACTAATACTAATTGCGCCATCACGGCTTGTACGTACCCGCGGTGTTGAGAAGCCGGGACTTGTAGCAGGAGTAGTCGATCCATTGCTCACAGTAAATGGAGGCGTTTGCCAAAGCAGAGACCTCGTCCCAGGAGGCGTTCCAATAATTCACGTTCCCGATGTACGGCTGCTCGATGGTGCTCCCTGAGACTTTGGTTCCATCGGCGCGGTCGTGCATTATGACCGTCCACGCTTTGTAGGCTGTGGAGGAAGAAAAAACAGATTAAGTCCACGTCACTTCAAAGATGAAAGGGTATTTCTTGTGTCTATTTTTCATGGTTTTATTTTACTTTTTTTAAGCACAAAGAAAAAATAAAATAAGTAATTTAAATAAAAACAATAAAAAATAAAATAATATAAATACAATAAAATAAACAAGACAAAATAAAATTAAGATAACAAATAAAAAAATAAAATATCTAATTAAAATGAAAAAATAAAAATAAAAATACATGAAAAAAAAATCATTATCATTAATTAAAATAAATAAAACAAACAAAATTAAAATGGATAAAATAAATAAAATAAATAAAATAAATACATAAAATAAGATTAATATGTTGTATGTATTATGAGGAAACAGTGTGAACTAAGAGGACACAATAAAGTAATAAGGAACAAAGATGAAAAAGGGCGACTACTTAAAAAAAAAATCCAATTTCATTTAGAGTGATAAAAACCCATCTTAGTGGATATTACTTAATAATGTGGCAGATGCCTGGGGGAACAGCTGACTTATGATTTCCCGGGGAATTCCAACGCACATCTCAATTATTATAACATTAAAAAAACGAGAGCGCGACGTTTCACAGTCGTTTTATCTTTATTACTTACACTTCATTTTGCAGTAGACCTCAAACGGCTTCAAAGGACCGCTTAGATCTGGATCGATTGTGTAGTTTCCAGACCAATACTTCCCACTCAGCCTGTACGCCTCACACGACTCCTTATACACAGCTGCGCGACAGATCAATGGGTCGTGATTATGTTGAGAGGAAAATCAGCTTCAAGGCATTTTCGTCACTTTGTTTGGTTTGAAATATGGCGATTCTATCCATACACAGCACTTACACATGTGGCAGACCTCTCCTTTGTATCCAGTGTTTTCACAAATGCAGATAAAGTCGTCCCAGGATTGAATGCATCTGCCCTCGTGCTCACAGGGATTCGGAGAGCATCTGAAACCAACATGGAGGATTACGTGTTAATAGGGCTTGTTCAAAAATGTGACAGAAGGCCAAAATATTTATTTTAATAATCAGAAGATTTTTTTATGTTTTTCATGTTTCCAAATCCCTTCTCTGTGCATTAGAAGTTTCTAGAACTGTTTTATACATTAGTCAAGTTTCCTAAAGCGGCCCTGTTTATTTTATATAACGGACCTGATGCTTTCAATGAGCTGAAGTTTGTCACATTTTCAGATCCACATTTGATTCTTTTTTTTGATGATACTTTCATAGTAAACCAATGAAATGCTCTCACAGACAGAGCAGCCATCCTCCTGTGGACTCACCACCTGCAGAGGATCAGTCAGGGGTTGGTTCTATGTGACTTTGATGGCATCACTGACTGCTGCCCCCCCCCCCCCCCCCCCCCGACCGAGAAATGGATGAAGGGGAAGAAGATGGATGGATGGATGTTAGCTGTTTTTAGATGTATGTATTTATTTGTTTTCTTTGTGTGCATGGATGTGTTTCTGCTGCTACTGGACACCTGAATTTCTCCTACGGGGATCAATAAAGTATCTATCTATTTATCTACTGTATCTACCTATCTATGTCACGGTACTGACAGGCTATATCTTGTTTAGAACGTATCTGACAAAAATACCTTTCCTTGTGTTTCTGTACTGAAAAAGGTCATATGTGTGTCGTATCTGCGAAAACATGTGGACTGGTTAAGTTATCATCGACAAATTGGCAAACTTTAAGCTTATTCTTTTCAGACAATCCACTCAGTCTAAAGGCTCTGGTTGATGTCAGTGAATGGATAATGGACTAGTCTAATGTGCTTTAAGTGCCTATAAAAGCATTATATATAAATCCAATTCTTCATTAGCGTCGTCAGGAAAGTCCAGATCCACTGCATGTAGCCTCTGGCCATGAGACTGACGCTTTAATACTGTATATCAACTTTGTCATAGCTGGAGACAATGTGGTTCATTCGTCACTGAAATCTAACGGATGCTGTTCTGTTTCGTACCTGTCCGTGATGCCGCAGGTTCCCAACAGGAGCTCAGCGTACCGCCCCCACTGTCTCTGCAGCACGATGTCGATGTCCAGCTGCTCATTGTCAATGAAAATATGCTGCATGCAACCGTGGAAACGATTCAACTTGGTCTCACATTTTCGTATCGTGTTGTTGGTTTGAGGACAACCTGCGAACGAGGACCGCATTTACAAACTTGCTAAAAAACATAAAGTGTTTTGTCAGGAATTTGATGTGAAATAGACAAAATGTGGAACTTAGTAAAAGATAGAAAAGATAGAAGAGCACTAAAAACAGGCACGTACATAAATAATAGACAAATATTCACACAATAATGAAGGGGAACATTCGTGGTATGTCTATACAGTGCAAAAATGATTAAATATAAGGTAGTAATTGCTTGAATCTATTTAATAATTAATTTAAAGGACAACTAAACACCAAATCAACTTATTTTTAAATGGTGCTTTCTGAATGTCCTGGTCATTATTTTAACATTTTAGTGCAAATTAGATAAAATCTTGTGAGAAAAAGAATTATTTGCCATTTGCAGTAAAACCACATTGGAAAAACTGTGCAAGACCACCCCAGTGTGCCAGACAGAGCAGATAACATGATATCTTGTATGTATTATTAGATATTATAAAAAGATAATGTCGCTTGTCCCAATGGAAAATCTTGTTTTAAGGCAGTCAGAATGTGCTCCAATTACGATTATGAATAATTTTTGCCAAATTTGAGCAATTTTTGACTTGTTTTTTCATCACTGTTTGCAATGTAGAAATCAGCCCGGAGCATGAATTCTGCACAGTTCTTTCTTACCTCCAAAGAAGTAGCGGTCTCCAGTTCGAATTGTGAAAGGGTTGGTGATGCGCAGTGGAGAGGCCTCTTCTTCATCGATGGTCAGAGTGAGGAGGTTGTCTCTGGCCGCCAAATCCACCGTGTGCCAATATCCGTCGTTTAGTCGGTATCCTGCGCAACAATGGTGACACGTTGCTACATAAAAAAAATATATCCCTGGTGCAATGTTATCATGGAGTTTCTCGGTTTTACTTTTCCGTCATTCTCAACCACAGATGTACGGTTGAAAGATCTGAATAGGACTCTGCCTCTGCCTCATGATGCCAGGATCTGTTCTGGACAAACTGCGGTACTACACCCTACGAGCCATCGGTCTGTGAAGTGGGCGGAGCTAGTTCAGGTAATACAAAATAATAAAAATAATAAAAAATATATTATTATGACCACAAGAACCTACATAGTTATTTATTATATAAGTATAATCTCCTGATATACGGATTATTTAAACATGTGTTTTTTATTATATATACATATACATATGTTTTTTGTCTCTTTATTATTATTATTATTTTTTTTTTTTTTATTTTTTTTTTTTAATCTATGAACCAGTTCTATCTGTGTTCTTAATAAAGAATGAATTGAATTGAATTGAATTATTAGCTTAAAATATAACCAGTGTAAAGATTTCACAAAGACTTGGGTTTTATCAGGATTTCTGTAGGCTTTAACAACAAGTCCTCAGCTTTCTAACAAAAAATTGCTAAATGAAAGCTAATTCCTGCTACTGCTTCTGGTCAGACCATTACAGCACTGGGCAGGGAGAAGATTCGAAAGAAAGGTGAAAAAAAAAAACTTTTCGGCTTTGTCTCGTTATGATTCTCAAAACAAGGAATAAAAAGGAGAATTTCTATCTTTGTGAAAAAAGTGTTGGTTATAGATTTGTTGTTGACAAAACTCTTGTCTATTCAGTTATTAAGGTCCCAGCTGAATTCGTCTGCATATCTGGCAACCTGAGTCAGGGAGAGGCTGCAGTACCACTTATGGCCAGAATTTTACACATTGCTCCTTTAAAGAGACACACCTGCTGCAAACTGTATTTTCTTCTTCCCCGGCTGGAATATGGTGACGTTTATCTGTCCTTCGCTGAGGCCCAACTCCAGAGCGCCGAGGTCGTCTGCGAAGCGCGTGAACATGAGCAGCCCGGTGTAGTCCCACGAGCGGAACTTAAACTTCACAAACATCTTGGGTCTGCGGAAGAAGCCAGGCACCTGCAGGTAGTTGTTGGGTCCAGCGAACGTCATGGGTTTGAGCAAAATGTCCCGGCAGGTGAAGTGCATCTTTTTCTGAAGGTGAGAAGCAGAGAAAAGTTTAGACGTTAGGAATTATGTAAAAAAAAACAAAGAAATTAATCCATTTTATATAGAGCGCTTTTGGAAAGTCATTATTCAGCTTTCCTCCGTCATCACCGTGTGTGAATGGAAAATATCTGGTTTCTGAACATTGTGACGTGCTTTGGGTGACCTTAGTCTGTAAAACACGCTATATAATTAAACATTACTGACATACTTACAATGCAAACTCTCAGAAAGACCCTGGTCCGACTGGGATCCAAACCCAGGACCTTCTTGCTGAGAAGCGAGAGCACTATCCACTCAGTCACTGGGTTGCCCACTATTGTAGCTACAGCTGCCCTGGGGCACGCTGACAGAACCGGGGCAACTTGACTCATTCTACCGTGGGTGAAGTTTCTTGCCTAAACAGACACTGACAGCCGCAGCTGCCCCACTGTGGCACCTGCTGTTCCCAGAGGTCTCCCATCACTGTACTGACCAGGCCCTGCTTAGCTTCAGAAGTCTGTAGGCTTTCACATGCAGGCAGCGCCACAAAATAGTCTGTCCACGGGTGATTTCAGGCTTTTTTCACACATACAGTAAATAATCATAAGTGACAACAAGAAACAAGAAAAATATCAGGAACTGGCTCTGTATCTATAACGTAGATATTTAAGATAACATGTATATTCAAGACTAACATTAATAAATCGTATATTTGTCCCATGTTGGGGAAATGTCTGTGTTGCATCACCAGAAACAGTAGGAAAATAGCAATAACAATAACGAAAATAAAACAAAACACAAAATCTCTAACTCTAGCATGAAAAAGAAACAAGTAGAAACCTCTATCTTTAGCAAAATGAGTGCAAAACCTTTGGACTTTAGCATCGAAAAGAAGAAAGTATAAAGTACTATGAGTCGTACGTACTGTATACATCTGCACATGTTATCAGCCAATCAAATGTCTTGCCTTTCTCGGGATGCGGATGTCAGTCTCCTCTCGTTTGGCTTTGTCGATGATATTGACGTCGTTAATGAAGACGTTTTCCAGACATCCGCGGAAGTTTGGAGTCGAAGGAAGATGAGGGATGTTTGGCTCAATCACTCCACCGACATATAACTGCAAGAACCAAAAGTAATAAACATAAACATTTTCTCAAATTCTTAAAAAAATGTATAAAACTAGAATTAGATTAAGGCGGTAAACGTCATCTATAGTGTCTGTTACCCCCAGATCTTCTCCACTCTCTCCCACTGATGTCGTTGTGTCCTTGGGCAAGACACTTAACCCCACTTTGCCGGAAGCCCCCACTGAAAGACTAAGACTGTGTCGTCACTGACAGATTCAGATTCACTTATTTGCCATTTGCAAATCCCCAGTGTGCTCAAGACAAGTACATGCATAAAACAAGGTTAAAAATACAAATATAAAACAAACAAAACGGTAAAGAAAAGGGAAAGAAGCAGTTAGCAAATTGACATGTCCTGCATCTCAGCGAGCGATATCTTCTGCCAGAGGGAAGAAGCTGGAACATGGCTTTTCCAGGGTGGCCAGAAGAGTTGTTGATTATTCTTAGAGCTCGGTTTAAAAATCTGGATTTATAAAAAACCTCCAGAACAAGAAGCTCACAGTCCAATCTCTGGTCTCTCTCTGGTCTCTCTCTGGTCTCTCTCTCTAGTCTCTCTCTGGTCTCTCTCTGGTCTCTCTCTGGTCTCTCTCTGGTCTCTCTCTCTGGTCTCTCTCTCTGGTCTCTCTCTGGTCTCTCTCTGGTCTCTCTCTGGTCTCTCTCTAGTCTCTCTCTGGTCTCTCTCTGGTCTCTCTCTCGTCTCTCTCTCTGGTCTCTCTCTGTGGTCTCTCTCTGGTCTCTCTCTGGTCTTTCTCTGGTCTCACAGCTCTCTGGTCTCTCTCTGGTCTCACAGCTCTCTGGTCTCTCTCTGGTCTCAGCTCTCTGGTCTCTCTCTGGTCTCACAGCTCACAGTTCTCTCTCTGGTCTCTCTCCGATCTCTCTCCGGTCTCACAGTCCTTTTTCAGAGCGGAGTACCTCGCTTATTAGAGCTTAGTGGTAAATTCTCTAAGTTTCTCTCAGAAAGTTTTAAAGATGATTTAATGCAGCAAGACTGGAATGCAATATATGAAACAATGGAGACAGATGAAGCATATGAGAATTTCATACAGATATTTACCCACTTGTACAATAAAAACTGCCCCTTACAACAGTTCACTTGTAGGAGTCAAAATGATAATACAAATGCTTGGATGACAACAGGCCTTTTTAAGGCATGCAGAAAGAAAAATAAACTGTATAAAAACTTTATAAGGAAAAGGAATAGAGATGCAGAGATAAGGTACAAGCAATATAAGAATAAACTAACAAGCATAATGAGAAATCATAAGAAAGAATATTATAGAAAGCTAATAGAAAATAACAAAGGTAATATGAAGGGGATATGGAAAACACTAAATGAAATTATAAAAGGCAATTGCAATCATAATAACTACCCAAGGCATTTCCTAGAAAATAATCAAGAAATTCGCAGTAGGGAAGATGCAGCTCACAAGTTCAATACATTCTTTGCTAATGTTGGGCCTGACTTAGCCGCTAAAATCCCTGAACAACACATGGGAGAAACTCCTTGGGGACAGCTAATAGAAACTAATCCTCATTCCATGTTTCTACAGCCAGTGGATGAAACTGAAATTATAGGAGTAGTCAGACAATTTAAAAGTAAGAAATCAAGTGATTATAATGATCTGAACATGGCCTTGATAAAAGAAGTAATTAATTACATTTCAAAACCATTAGTACACATCTTCAATTTATCATTCAGTACAGGTACAGTTCCAAACAGTATGAAGATAGCAAAAGTGATACCACTATTCAAAACTGGAAATAAGCATCATTTTACTAACTATAGACCTGTGTCCTTACTACCGCAATTCTCTAAAATATTAGAAAAACTTTACAGTAATAGATTAGATAAATTTGTGGACAAGTATAACCTACTGCATGACAGTCAATATGGTTTCAGGGCAAAACGGTCTACATCACTTGCATTGATGGAGTCTGTTGAAGAAATCACAAATTTCTTAGATGAAGGTAAAATAACGGCTGGGCTTTTTATAGACCTAAAAAAGGCATTTGATACAATAAATCATACTATATTAATAGATAAGTTAGAGAAATATGGGATAAGGGGTATTGCATTAGAATGGATAAAAAGTTATTTAAAAAATAGGAAACAGTTTGTGAAGCTTGACAATGTCAGTTCTCCATATTTGGATGTTGTATGCGGTATCCCCCAGGGGGCAGTAGTGGGTCCAAAGCTATTTATTATATATATTAATGAGTTGTGCAAGGTGTCGCAAATTTTCAAAACTGTGCTCTTCGCTGATGACACAAATTTGTTTTGTGCAAGTCACAATATAAGCGAACTCACAACTCAGATAGAAACAGAAATGAGCAAGTTAAAAAGATGGTTTGCTCAAAATAAATTGTCATTAAATTTGACCAAAACTAAAATTATGTTTTTTGGAAATTTTAAAGATAAGGAAAAAGTAACAATTAAAATAGAAGGTGTTGAAATTGAAAGAGTAACAGATAACAAGTTTCTGGGAGTCATAATTGATGATAAGTTAAACTGGAAGAGTCACGTAACATATATACAAAAGAAAATAGCAAAAAGTATTGCAATCTTATACAAAGCAAAGGATATATTGGATAAAAAAATCGCTACACACATTATACCATTCACTAATTTCACCATATTTTAGTTACTGTGCTGAGATCTGGGGCAACATCTACAAAACCACGCTAAATCCACTCATCAAACTGCAAAAAAAGGTAATAAGAATCATCAATAAAGCTGGATACAGAGATCACACAAACCCATTATTCATTCAGTCAAAAATAATAAAGATTCATGACCTGATTGATTTACAAACACTTCTAATTTTATTTAGAGCTAGAAATAAACAGCTGCCTGCACACATACAGAATATGTTTATTGAAAGAGAAACAAATTATAATTTAAGAGGATTGTTTTTTTTCCAATTTAAAAAGGTCCGCACCACATTAAAAAGCTTTTGTGTTACCGTCAGTGGAGTAAAAAAATGGAATGAATTGGATGCGGAACTTAAAAAATGTCAAACATTATTTGAGTTTAAAAAAAGATACAAAGAAGTTATTTTTAATAAATATGTTCGTGAAGCATGCTAAAAACTTCCAAGCGCTAGATTGCATTTGGTAAAGGGAGATTTTTTTTGATTTGTAAATTCAGAGTTGTAAGTAGGGGTGGGATTACACAAGTTTTTTTAAAACTTCCTCCCACTCCTATTTTGGACATCATTTGTTTGTTCGCTTAGTCAATGTAGAATTACATTGCTTTTGTTTTGTTTTCTCATTTTGAAACGTCCAAAATAAAAACATTCATTCATTCAAAGTAGAGACGCAGACAGAGAAGCCATCCTCATGCGCAGGAGGATCAGTGAGGGGCTGGTGCTTTGTGAATTGGGATTGTGGACTCAGATGAATGGGTGATGTCACATGTACCTGCTTGTCCAGATCCAGGTGGGTGAAGTCTCCGCTGCAGTAGCCGGTGACGGAGTGAGCGTCCACCGTGAGGTTGACCTGTCGCCCCAGTCTCCTGATGGTGACGTAGTGCCAGTGCAGGTTGTCCAGGAGGCTGCCGGCGGTCAGTGTGGTCTTCCCATTCAGATTGTGGACAATACTGCTCCCTACAACACAAGAAACAATATTAGTAATAATAATAATAATAAAGCAAATAGAAAACACACAGCAAGTTTACTTTTGAATGCGATGGAAATGGCAGCAAGCCCAAAGTCGCTCTGAAACAGTTGTTGTTTTGTGTTTTACAATTGTTATTTTTCTTGCTTTTTTCTACCTAAGATGTTGCTGCAGTACAGTGTTTATGGTTTTGCACTGGTCCAGACCAGAGCAGAGAGGGTTCATGGTCCGAACCAAGTTGATCAGGTGAAAATCCACTGGAGGAATGCTAATGTTTTGAAAAATTCTAATGAAACATCCAGCTTTTACTTTGAACTAGAGCAGAGAAAATGGTCCGAACCCGGCGGCTGCTCCACCTCTGCTGCTGTGACCGGTCCTGCTCCACCCAAAGACTACTCCACCTCTGCTGCTGTGACCGGTCCTGCTCCACCCAAAGACTACTCCACCTCTGCTGCTGTGACCCGTCCTGCTCCACCCAAAGACTACTCCACCTCTGCTGCTGTGACCGGTCCTGCTCCACCCAAAGACTACTCCACCTCTGCTGCTGTGACCCGTCCTACTCCACCTCTGCTGCTTTGACCTGAAGAGCTGTTTCTTATTATTACTATTGTTAGTTATTTTCTAGATTTATGTATTTATTTGTTTTGTTTGTGTCGATGGATGTTTTTCTGCTGCTACTGGACACCTGCATTTCACCTACGGAGCTCAATAAATTATCTGTCTGTCTGTCTGTCTGTCTGTCTGTCTGTCTTTCTATATAGATTATCTTCGCATCACTGAGCTGTCCCCATCAAAAACATACTGCATAACTGAGAATAACTCCACTGGTTACTGGCTAGATGGCTCTACACCAGTTTATTTCAACTCCACTTCATATCTCGTTGTTGCTTTTTGACAATTCCTGGGTTTTTATGTTATTTATGCTGTGCTGCTCAAACGCTGGTGGGATAAATAAAGTATTTTGAATCTGAATCTGAATCTGAGCAAGGCGCGAGTCAGTTGTTCCCATCAGGAGGAGGCCCGGGAAAGACCAGGATATACGCTGGATTAATTCTCCGAGCCAATTCCCCCGGACGAGCTCGGGGAAGTGCCTTTCTGCTCCACACCAGCACCACACACACGCCACAGTTTTAATGCAATGCTTTTAATTCACCACACACACATATATACTGTATATATACATCCACATCTGCTGTGAAGGCTCATTAAATGACTCGTAATTCTTTTCAACTGTTTTCAACTCGTCAGTAGTTCAACTCAAAGTAGTTTTTGCATTGCTATTCACCCGTTGTCTCTTCATGTCTATTCCATGATCGCTGCGGTGGCGCTTTGATGCTGGAGATGACGTGTGCTTAGTGTCGCTTTTGTCAATCCCTTTAATAATTAAATTGTGGAAAAAATCACAACAGAAAATTGGAGAAAAAAACAACTCGGCTGAACCGACAGCAGAGGGTACTCTCAGAGCGCCCCCTGCTGTATTGGCTCCACCAAACGCTCTGATGGGACTCAAAATCCTGGACCCTCTGGACCTGAAGACTAGTCCTCATTCTCAAGAAGACTGTTGCTGTGATTTTGGTTTAATAAAAAAAGTATAATCGATTTGATTTTGCTCAGACAGATGTCCCTGCAATTTGGCAACGGAAAAAGCAGAAAAAACTGAAGAAAGATTAAATTGGCCAGACCAGCGTTGGTTTTATTTGCACATTGTGTATTCTTATGTCTTGTCTAATATATCGCACTGTCCAAATCCAAATGACAAAAGTTCTCAATATGGACACCTTTTTTTGTTGTACTGTATTTTAATCTGGAGCACTTTGAGGTTTACTGGAAATGTAAGGTGCAAAATAAATAAAATGTGTTTTCATTATTAATATTATTATTATATTATTCTTACCGAGGCTGATGTGGAGGTAGAGCCGGCCTTTCTTCAGCTCCAGAGTAAAGACGTCTCCCTGAACGCCCTCACTGTGCAGCAGCAGCCCGTCCTGCTCCAGAGTCTTGAAGTTCAGACCGAAGTGATCCGACAGCGTGCGAGACCTCCTCCCGGGGAACATGTAGATCACCGAGTCGTCCCCGTTGTACTGCAGCACGTACGAGTCTGGAACCACAAGCAGCACGTTAGAATCAGAACAAAAACAGTGAGAATGTAGAGGAAATTGAACGGAATTGAGACGTGCTGTTATAGTGGTGTTGTCTTGTGTTTTTGCCATTGCCACTATTCTCCTAATAGAATTATCATAGTGAGTGATGGAAAGTTTGGACACCCCTGGCCAACCATATCAGGATGTAATGTCGCTTTCTCCCTGGTTGGAACTGAAATACACCTCATTGTTGCATCTCTATCACTTAGTTTTAAGTTTTTCTGCATCTCAACCATTCAGTAAAGGCCTATAATTCAAAAACTAGGGGTTAGAAAGTGTTATTAGTGCTCCTACAGTACATCTTATGAAATAAATGTACACTGCATTCTTGCTTTTTTCAAGGAGCGAAAATTAAAGGGTTAAGCTTCTGCCACTTTATTTTCTCATAATTCTGGACACCTATTTCATAACCTGCACTTATGTCTACTGTGTGTATTTATCTAAAAGAATGTTATGCAGATGTATTTTACTTTTTCATTCGGGCCTAGTTTGTGACGCCCGGTTTACCACGGAATCAGGAGAATTCTGACAGCACTACAAGTCTGAAAATGTCCAACTGTGATACAAATGAAATAATATGTTATCTCAGAGAGTGTAGCCTTAATGAGACCACTCCCAGGTTAAAAACAGTTTTGTTTCTCTGTGCAGGCAACCATTGTATCTACACGTACTTCAATGCACTGTGATTACTCATGATTTCATAACAATGTGTGATTTTAATGCACTTTTTTGTTACGTTAAGCAATTTAAATTCCCTTATGTGTGAACGCTGCTATACATATAACCTTGCCTTGCCATTTTTTGTAGAGCAGAAGCAGTGCCACTGGGATTCAAACCCAAAGAAATTGACCCCATTTCCATAATTGTATGTATTGTTTGTATCAATAAGATGATCTATTCTTTCACTCCGACTACTGTCTCATGTTTGGACGTAGATGCACTTAAGAAAGGCCGCTGACTTGTTTTAGTTAGACAAACATCAAGTATTCATGAGCGGCTCCACCCCTGTACCAGGCAAAACAGGCCAAATATTTTAGGAAGCCCAATCCCTGTATAAATCAAGCTAGAACAGGAGCTCACAGGTATTACAACGGCTGAATATTTATAGCCTTTCGGGGCATAACTCGGCGATGATTTAGCACGGAGCTTGCAAACCCTCTTTATCATCCAAACACAGTAAATCCTGCTTATCAAGAGCTGGGACATTACCATAGGGGCAGCCAAAGAGCTCCAGCCGGACGCCAATTTTGCCTCCGTTCTCCGTGTTCCAGGCCTGAGGAAGCAGACGGACGTGCTTGGCGGTGAAGGCGTAATGGAAGACGTTTCTCTTGACTTGATAGTAATTCCAGTTCCCCGGCATCGTCTGCAGAGAGGAGAGAGAGCCGGAGTTATTTCACCAAAAGAAACAGCGTTAGGGTCTTATTAACAAGCGGAGAGGGACGGATGATGAGATTAGATTTATCCCAGCCTCGTATGGGAGAAAGCAGGGACTGTTTGGAGATTGCATAAACACAGAGCACAAAACAGATTTTTTGCACCGGGACAAATGGATGGAATCTTTCATAAAGCATTGATCTTACATGGTATGGTATTAAAGGCGCATTCCTCAACTGTCATTTGGAGGCTATATGCATCTGGACTGGCAACCATTATAAATATGTAGTCCAAAGGAAAAAGGGAAGATAATGTCTGAATTAATAATAATATTTTGTACATATAGTAATAATAATAACTAAAATAATGCATTGTTTTTATATACCCACTGAAAGATCAAGGCTGTGACATCACTGACAGAGTAGCCGTCCCCCTGTGGACTCACCCCCTGCAGGAGGATCAGTGAGGGGCTGGTGCATTGGGTGTAGCTCTGACTGCCTACTACTATTGGTCGTGGCCACCGTGTTTCCAGAGGTCTCCCATCACAGCACTAACCAGGCCCTCCAGCTCTTTCACCCTTCAGGGGGATTTCATTTCTATATACTCTCTATTTCCAGTTCGCCTTCTGCAATCGTCAAGCCGTGCTCTGCCGGAGTCTAAGCTCCAAATCTTAGCCACATTTCTCATACAGCGTGCAATAAATGTAATCTTGGAAACATTGTGCTATGTGCTAATCTATGTAGTCAGATTAATTGCCACCAGTTTGCCCAGATTGAATCAATTGTCATCAGTATTTGGCCCCAGAACAGAACCAATAGGCCAATACTGTTGTCTGCACTGATGACCATGGAAATATTGTCAGACCAGATATGAACACATGATTATCGCTGAACGAAGAGTTAAACGGCTGATGAGATTATTTGAAATCAGCTTTGACAATACTGTCTTAAGCCAGCAATGATAATATAATGCAGCAGGAACAGACGTTAATCCATCAAAACCACTAATCTGACTGGAGACCGGATCCATGCAGAGACTGTGAGACTGGTTGTATGTTAACTTGTGTGTTCTTTCTTTTTGTGTGTCTGTGCTGGACCTAGCCTGGCCTTATCCATCCGTACACTTCGCTCAATCATCATTCATTACATACGTCACGGTAAACTTGGATCCAATCGTTTCAATCTGCAAAAGGAGAACTGCTCCCACCTGTTAACGGAGTCAATGGAGCAAAGCCAGACCTTAGTATGAAATGAAATGTGTACTATGGTGTAGAGCTGCAACTAACGATTATTTTGTAATCGATTAATCTATCGATTATTTTTACGATTAATCGAGTAATCGCTTGGCTGTGAATTGTGTAGAAAAAAATTATTTTTTCATCAAAAAAAGCTAAAGTGGCAACACTCGAGGACGTATTGAGGCGTAAACTTAAAGTAAATGTTTGTAACAGGCTCTTTGTGCTAATTCTGCTCTGATTGGATGAGACAGACAGATATTCATGAAATTATAAAAACAAAGTCGGTTTTAATCAAAAATACTACATTTTCATGTCATTTTTGCTCTGTTTGAGTCCGTGTGAACCAGAAAACGATTAATCGATTACTAAAATAGTTGTCGACTATTTCAATAATCGATTAGTCGTCGATTAATCGATTAGTTGTTTCAGCCCTACTATGGTGTGGTACGACCAGGCTAGGTTGGACCGTGAATAAAAAGGCTTCACTGGGACTGGTGACGTACAGAGTTGCCTCCAGTCATGATGTAGGGCGTCCAGGAGTCGGGCCGGTCCCCGTAGAGCAGCGTGTACTTGGTCACCCAGTCATACGAGTTGAAGGTCCCCTGTGTTGCTATGGCGACCAGCCTGTACTTCCGCATCAGGTCTATCTGAAGCCAGGGCTGTCGGTCCCGGGCCGAAGGGGACCATCCACTGCTGCCTGCGGGCGACAGACAACTCCAGTCAATGTCAGTAAGTGAGTAATTTATTTATGTAGCTCATTTTGACAGACGTAGGTCACTCAAAGCACTTTACAATGTTCAGAGTTCAGATATTGTTCCATTCTCTCCACACGGCGATGATGGAAACGAGACGCCGAAAACACACTGGTCCATCAAAGCCTCTGACCAAACACCCTCCATTCACTCACTCATTAAATTCATACTTATTGTGCAGGATTAGCTTTGGTTCAAACACCAGGATGAATGTATAAAACTACTGTATGTTTTCTGTATCTGCCCTTTATGTGTGCCTGTGCGTGTGTGTGCGTGTGTGTGTGTGCCTGTGCCTGTGTGTGTACAGTATGTGCGTGTGTGTGTGTGTGTGTGTGCCTATGCCTGTTCGTGTTGTGTGTGCGTGTGTGTGTTTGTGTTATTTGTGTGTGTGTGTGTGTGTGTGTGTGTGTGTGTGTGTGTGTGTGTGTGTGTCTCACCATATAGTTTGGCAAAGTTGGCAGAGTACAGGAAGTTGTATCTGGACGAGGCCAGAAAAGATGAGGCATAAAGGTTGGAGATGAGTGGGTCCACACAGTCGTCTGCAGAGAGAAGACACACACTTTAGATTTCAGCTGTTCTTGTGTCAAAGCGAGACAGGAGTCTACTCTGATGACCATGTTCAGGTTAAAGCAGTTCTGTTTCTTGCCACATACAACTGAAGGATTTTATCTTCATTTAAAAGAGCAGAATGTAAAAATCTGACCAAATCTTGTTTTGTCGTTAATGATTTGAGAATTATATTGAGACCTTTATTAGTTCTGTGGCCACATGGTACTTTACCAATGAGAATACCTCAACACGGTGAGTTCTGGCGCCTGGATCACAGACTTTCTGATTGCCAAACGCTGAAGGGTGGGACATCGAAATGAAAACAATAACAAGATTTAGGGGCTGTAAAAGTTATTTTTAAATCCAAATATCTCTGAACTACTAAATAAAGTGACATTCAGGGGACAAGTTGCAGTATTGCACATGATTGCAGTATTTAATGCCATATTCTTTTCTTGTTTTGTGAAGCCTTGGATATGGCCAGTCTCTAGCTCAAGTATGATCTAGTTAGTTTCAAATAAGCAAAGCAAATACAATAGCAACAAATATCCATCATGAACGACAACATTTGCAGCACTTTGTTCACAGCAGCTGCACAAATATTGCACCTACATTGATTGCATGTTCTTAAAAACTCCCTTTTAGCTCGTTGGTGTTCTGCAGGTCTACACTCTCTGTTTGTGGGAGAGTGCGAAGTCATGCTCACAGATTAAAGTCGGAGTTTAGTCTGTGGCCAGAGATGATGTCAGTGTGCGGCTGCTCAGGTCTTTAAACCGGTCATAATTCTGTCTAATCTGAACTCTACCGCAGCAGCAAAACCACAGAGCAACAATCACCTGTCACGTATTAAGATTAAGATTAAGATGAAGAGATCCTTTATTTGTCCCACGGTGGGGAAATTTCAATGATGCATTAAGAGTCAGAATGAGGAGCACACAGCACAAGATAAAAGTACAATAACTCTATACTATTTAAAATGTAATAAAATCTCAAAATCTAGCATCAAAGAAACAAGATATAATATTATTTATTTTTGACATAATAAAGAAGTATAAAATCTCTGAATTTGGCAAAATAAGATGCAGGTGTAAAGTACTGTCTATTCTAGTGCATGCAATATGTAGTAATATGTTAGCATCTATACACGTTAGCATCTGTACATGTTAGCATCTGTACATGTTAGCATCTGCACATGTTAGCATCTGCACATGTTAGCATCTGTACATGTTAGCATCTGTACATGTTAGCATCTGCACATGTTAGCATCTGCACATGTTAGCATCTGCACATGTTAGCATCTGTACATGTTAGCATCTGCACATGTTAGCATCTGCACATGTTAGCATCTATACACGTTAGCATCTGTACATGTTAGCATCTGTACATGTTAGCATCTGCACATGTTAGCATCTGTACATGTTAGCATCTGTACATGTTAGCATCTGTACATGTTAGCATCTGCACATGTTAGCATCTGCACATGTTAGCATCTGCACATGTTAGCATCTGTACATGTTAGCATCTGCACATGTTAGCATCTGTACATGTTAGCATCTATACACGTTAGCATCTGTACATGTTAGCATCTGTACATGTTAGCATCTGTACATGTTAGCATCTGCACATGTTAGCATCTGCACATGTTAGCATCTGCACATGTTAGCATCTGTACATGTTAGCATCTGCACATGTTAGCATCTGTACATGTTAGCATCTGCACATGTTAGCATCTGCACATGTTAGCATCTGCACATGTTAGCATCTGTACATGTTAGCATCTGTACATGTTAGCATCTGTACATGTTAGCATCTGCACATGTTAGCATCTGCACATGTTAGCATCTGCACACGTTAGCATCTGCACATGTTAGCATCTGCACATGTTAGCATCTGCACATGTTAGCATCTGCACATGTTAGCATCTGCACATGTTAGCATCTGCACATGTTAGCATCTGCACATGTTAGCATCTGCACACGTTAGCATCTGCACATGTTAGCATCTGCACATGTTAGCATCTGCACACGTTAGCATCTGCACATGTTAGCATCTGTACATGTTAGCATCTGCACATGTTAGCATCTGCACATGTTAGCATCTGCACATGTTAGCATCTGCACATGTTAGCATCTGCACATGTTAGCATCTGCACATGTTAGCATCTGTACATGTTAGCATCTGTACATGTTAGCATCTGTACATGTTAGCATCTGTACATGTTAGCATCTATACACGTCAGCATCTGTACATGTTAGCATCTGTACATGTTAGCATCTGTACACGTTAGCATCTGTACATGTTAGCATCTGCACATGTTAGCATCTATACACGTTAGCATCTGTACATGTTAGCATCTGTACATGTTAGCATCTGTACATGTTAGCATCTGTACATGTTAGCATCTGCACATGTTAGCATCTGTACATGTTAGCATCTATACACGTTAGCATCTGTACATGTTAGCATCTGCACATGTTAGCATCTGTACATGTTAGCATCTATACACGTTAGCATCTGTACATGTTAGCATCTGTACATGTTAGCATCTGTACATGTTAGCATCTATACACGTTAGCATCTGTACATGTTAGCATCTGTACATGTTAGCATCTGTACACGTTAGCATCTGTACATGTTAGCATCTGTACATGTTAGCATCTGCACATGTTAGCATCTGTACACGTTAGCATCTGCACATGTTAGCATCTGTACATGTTAGCATCTGCACATGTTAGCATCTGCACATGTTAGCATCTGTACATGTTAGCATCTGTACATGTTAGCATCTGTACATGTTAGCATCTGCACATGTTAGCATCTGCACATGTTAGCATCTGTACACGTTAGCATCTGCACACGTTAGCATCTGCACATGTTAGCATCTGCACATGTTAGCATCTGTACATGTTAGCATCTGTACATGTTAGCATCTGCACATGTTAGCATCTGCACATGTTAGCATCTGCACATGTTAGCATCTGCACATGTTAGCATCTGCACATGTTAGCATCTGTACACGTTAGCATCTGTACATGTTAGCATCTGTACATGTTAGCATCTGTACATGTTAGCATCTGCACATGTTAGCATCTGCACATGTTAGCATCTGCACATGTTAGCATCTGCACATGTTAGCATCTGCACATGTTAGCATCTGCACATGTTAGCATCTGTACATGTTAGCATCTGCACATGTTAGCATCTGCACATGTTAGCATCTGCACATGTTAGCATCTGCACATGTTAGCATCTGCACATGTTAGCATCTGTACACGTTAGCATCTGCACATGTTAGCATCTGTACATGTTAGCATCTATACACGTTAGCATCTGTACACGTTAGCATCTGTACATGTTAGCATCTGCACATGTTAGCATCTGCACATGTTAGCATCTGTACATGTTAGCATCTGCACACGTTAGCATCTGCACATGTTAGCATCTGCACATGTTAGCATCTGTACATGTTAGCATCTGTACATGTTAGCATCTGTACATGTTAGCATCTGCACATGTTAGCATCTGCACATGTTAGCATCTGTACATGTTAGCATATGCACATGTTAGCATCTGCACATGTTAGCATCTGCACATGTTAGCATCTGCACATGTTAGCATCTGCACATGTTAGCATCTGTACACGTTAGCATCTGTACATGTTAGCATCTGCACATGTTAGCATCTGCACATGTTAGCATCTGCACATGTTAGCATCTGCACATGTTAGCATCTGCACATGTTAGCATCTGTACATGTTAGCATCTGCACATGTTAGCATCTGCACATGTTAGCATCTGCACATGTTAGCATCTGCACATGTTAGCATCTGCACATGTTAGCATCTGTACACGTTAGCATCTGCACATGTTAGCATCTGTACATGTTAGCATCTATACACGTTAGCATCTGTACACGTTAGCATCTGTACATGTTAGCATCTGCACATGTTAGCATCTGCACATGTTAGCATCTGTACATGTTAGCATCTGCACATGTTAGCATCTGTACATGTTAGCATCTGTACACGTTAGCATCTGTACATGTTAGCATCTGCACATGTTAGCATCTGTACATGTTAGCATCTGCACATGTTAGCATCTGTACATGTTAGCATCTGTGCATGTTAGCATCTGTACATGTTAGCATCTGCACATGTTAGCATCTGCACATGTTAGCATCTGTACATGTTAGCATCTGCACATGTTAGCATCTGCACATGTTAGCATCTGCACATGTTAGCATCTGTACATGTTAGCATCTGCACATGTTAGCATCTGCACATGTTAGCATCATGGATCTATTATAATAACTGGATAGGGTATTACTAGCTTGTAGCTGAATAACCCATGTGCTCGGGGGATTCTCGCGGTACTGCAGACTGAACCAGACTGAACCAGACTAAATTCACGTGGGCTACCCAGACATTTTCCCCACAGGACTCAATGCATATTAAAATAGCTAAACCTCAGCTGACAGAGAACCTACAGCTTTAATAAAGGTCGGATTTTGTGGGGATTTTAGTGTCCCTTGTAATCCTGAACTTTTTTTCTTCTTAAATCCTTCGGTTTTGTTTAAATCCACACTTTAGTGCCACAAACTCTGCTCCTCTGGCTCTCGCTCTAACTCCCGCTTTGATGAACTGCTGTGATTGGTCAGAGCGCAGCCGAGCCCCTCTGTGCACGTGCGTGAGACCCGGTGTGAGACCCACACACACGTGTTTGGCGCAAAGCATCATGGGAGATCATCCACTGCAAAGATAGAAAGCCTTTATTCCTTGTTTTGTCGTTAGAGCATTATAACAAGACCTTTTTTATTTCTGGAGCCACATGGTACTTTCCCAGTGAAATTAGCTCGACGCGGTGACTTCTGACAACCTGTATCACGAACCTTCTGATTGGTGAAACAATGCAGGGCGGGACATCGAAATGAAAACAATAACAAGGTTTAGGGGCTGTAAAACTAATATTTCAAAAGACCATGGTTAATTGAT